AGAATAGGGGGCATACGAAGAATGCATGCTCCGCGTCCTCAGTAAAAGCGCTGCCACAGTAGTCGCAGTACGGGTCGACCTCATGCTTAAACCTGTGGAGGTAGGCCTTGAAGCAACCATGTCCTGTGATGATCTGCGTGGTGTAGTAGTCCAGCTGACCATGTCGTCTCTGCAACCAGGGAACCAGATCGGGGATGAGCCTGTAGGTCCATCGTCCTGTGCTCGCGTTGTTCCATCTATCCTGCCATCGAGCCATGGTGCTGCTTCTCTGGATTCTGCTACCTGAGTTCCCAGTCCTGCGCTCCTCTGCCAGTAGGTCTATTGGGATTGCTCCCGACACCACCAATGCAGCTTCTTCTGACACCGTGCAGAAGCAGCTCGAGATGCGCAAAGCGCAGCGTCTGTAGACAGACTTACACTGCCGGCTGTAGCTGACAGTCCTCATGGCTTCCGCCCAAATCGGCGCGGCGTACAAGATGGTCGAGGTCACCACTGTAGCTATTAATCGTCTGCTATGCTGCTTTGGGCCACGGGTGTTGGCCATCATCCTAGAGATAGCGGCAGTGGCCTTAGATGCCTTGGCCGCTGCGTACTCCAGGTGGCTCTTAAAATTCAGCCTATGGTCGATCATGACTCCGAGGTACTTGATCGCCGGACTGGACTCGACGTATGTCGAGCCGACCCGGAAGGTGACCTTCTCTACGGTCTTTCTACTGCTTATGAGCACTGCTTCCGTTTTGTGTTCGGCGAGCGAGAGACCGTTGTCTTTCAGCCAAGACATCATCATGTCGATTGCAATGCTGCATTTAGCAGAGACATCGGACAGGTGCTTCTCCACCGTGACCAGCGCTATATCGTCAGCGAACCCTACTACGGCGCAGCCATCTGGTAGTGGAAGTCTCAGGATCCCGTCATACATGACGTTCCACAGGATTGGCCCAAGAACAGATCCCTGGGGTACACCACCTGTCACGTGGTGCATCTGGTTGCCGTCGTCGGATGTGTACAGAAGGACGCGATCTTTGAAGTAGTCCGCTATCAGGAGGGTGAGGTTCCCTGATATGCCGCCGTGTTGGAGTGCCTGCAAGACTAAGCTCCAATTTGCTGAGTTAAAAGCGTTTTTGACATCTAGGGTGGTGACCAGGCAGTATTGCTTGGTGCCTCCCTGCCATCTTTCGCCTTCAATCGCGTTTGCTGCCATTAGCGTTACCTCTCGTATCGCGTCGATCGTGCTCCGCTTCTTCCTGAAACCGTGCTGCTGATTCGATAGAGCTCCACGCTCTTCGATCTCTCTCTCCAACTTGTTGCAGATTATGCGCTCAAATATCTTCCCCAGTGTGTTGAGCATGCACAGGGGGCGATATGAGGACGGGTCGTCATTCATTTTGCCTGGTTTAGGGATAAGCACTAGTCTCTGCTGCTTCCATACTCTTGGAAAAGTGCGCTCCGCAATGCACCTGTTGTATACCTGTGCAAATAGGCTTGGGAATGACTTCATTATGGCATGAAGTGCAGCGTTGGGAATGCCATCGGGTCCCGGGGCTTTGGCTGCCTTGCTGCTGGCCAACGCGCACAGTATTTCCTCCTCGTTGGTGAAGATCGCTTCACTCGCAGCTATGTTTGGCAGCACGAGGGGCGGCTGCGACGGGAACAGCGTGGAGATTATAGCTCCAAGTTGTTCCTGGGAGGTTGGAGTCGGCGGTCTGTAGAGTTTGCCCATGACCAGCTTGTAGGCCGAGCCGAAGGGTTCCTGGTCTGCTGCATCGCACAGCTCTTGGAAGCACCTGCTCTTACTCGTCTTAATAGCGATTTTGAGGGCTTTTTTCTTCTCCTTGTAGCGTGTCTCGAACAGCGCTTGCGTGGGACGCCCTCTACTTCGTTGACATCTTCGCCTTGCAGAGAGGCACTCGCTCCTGGCGACGGATATCTCATGATTCCACCAGGGGACTGGTCTCCTTCCATTTCCTCTAGTGGAGCTCGCCATGGCGGCATCACAAGCAGCCTTGATTCTCGCAGATAATATGCCGGCGCAGGTGTTGGCGTCGCCAGTGATGACGTTGCCATCCATACTGCTTAGGAGTGTGTCTGCGTTAAGGGTGTGTACCTTGTACGCAGATTGCCGGAGAGACGGGCTCTGCTGGCTGTGCGTCGTCTGGGTGATAATGGCTGCGTGGTCGCTGTATGTGAGCAAATCCGTGACCTTCCAGTGGCTGGTCCGGCAGAGCTCCGGGCTGGCGAAAGTCAGGTCAATGATTGACTCTCTGCCTGCCTTGCTATAGGTGCATCTAGCTCCATCGTTCAGGAGACAAACGTCTAATGTGGCCAGGGCGTCCAGAAGGATGGTTCCCCGTTGAGTCGTTTTCGAGCTCCCCCAGGCGGTGGACCACGCATTGAAGTCCCCAGCGATTAGTACTGGGGATCTTCCGCGGGCGTCTCGGGCGATCTCCTGCAAGATGTCCCTAAAGGCATCTATATGCAAGCTCGGGGCTAGGTAGCAGCTATAGATGGTGGTTGCTTGGACCTTGGCCCTTGCATAGCCGGGTCTCGACGCCCTCTGCGACAGGTGTCCGGGGGACTGCCCGCAGCTCCATATGGCTGAACCACCATCCGCACTCTGTTGCCATACTCCCTCTGCCTTTGACTTGTACGGTTCGCTCAGTACAGCAATGTCAATTTTCTCCTCGAAAACCGTCTGTGACAGCAGATCTTGGGCAGCTCTGCAGTGGTTTAAGTTAAGCTGTAAAAACTTAACCATTCTGCGTGTTATGGGTGGCCTTCAGGTACTCCGGGCAGATCCTGCTCAGAGTAGCGTGCGCAGCTTCACCCGCGGGTTTGCCTCCTCTGGTGCATAGGATACACCTGGGCTTGGCTTGGCACGTGTAGTGCTTGTGGCCTTCTTCCCCGCATCTGAAGCAGGAGTTTTGTGTGGCCTTGGCTACTGAGTCTGAGGCCCTGCATCTCGTCGAGGTATGCCCATAGCCCATGCATTTGAAGCACCTCCTTAGCTCAGTCTTCTGTCTGATGCGACAGACGACCCATCCGATTCGGATTTTGCCCTTGTCGAGCAGTCTCCGCGCATGATCAGGCCTGAGGCTGACGGTTGCTGTTTGCGTGCCGCCAAACGCCTTCCGCATCCTAGGTGCAGTGTTGCTTGGGATGTCGCAATCCTCTCCGGCAAACAGAGCCATAGTGACTTCTCCGCCGCTGGTCATCTCGTCCAGGTCGCGAATCTCCACTTGCACAGTTTCCTGCATGACCGCCACCTCTGCTTTATCGGATATGGCCGTCCTGAGTGCTGCCTGCAGCTGCTGTGTGGACGGGTCCTGAGGCTTCTGCATTCTCAATAGAAGTCCGCCATTTGCAGTTCTTCGCAAACCTTGAACATTGTCTTTGAGTCCCTGGAGGGAGGGCTCAGTTTTGACCAGCTTCAGCATATCTGCGTACGAGCCTTCGCTGCATTTTATTAAAATAGCGTCGGCGCGCTGCTTCCTGGGCATGACAGCGTTTGGTGCTCGAATCCCTTTGGGTTCGATGCTCTCCGGTCTCGGTTGGGGATTTCTGGGCTTAGGCTTGGCCCTGACCTGTTGCCATGCCGAATTTCCTGGCCCGGTGGTACAAGCCGCTTTGGGGATCGTGGCTGTCAGCGTGGGAGTGGTCTGCTGGCTTACGCTCGAGGTAGAGCCCTTGGTGTGGCCCTCGGCCAGCGCTGCACTGATGTCGACCTGCAGCTTTTTCATCGCCAGCATGGAGTCGATTGTCCCCTGGGTGACGTGGCGGACCACCTTTTTGTTGTTGGTCTTGGTATCCGTGAACTTGGCGATCATCTCGTCTAGCATCTTCCCCAGCTTTTCGGCTAGTGCTGGTGCGCTAGTGTCCACTCTCTGCTTCTTGTGCGCTCCTGACTGGTTCACATCGGGGCTCACGGCATCCCAGCTTCTCTTCGGGGTAGCCGTTTCCTCCTCAGTCTCGCCGAAAACAAACACGGGTCCCTGCACATTTGGCGGTGCCGACACCGGTTGCTTCTCTGGCATGCTCGCGGGAGGCGAGTGTTGCATCTTCTGCTTGTTGCGCTGGAAATTTCTCAGCAGTTCCTCCTCTGCTCTAGCTACCGCTAATGCCTGGGTCTCGTCATCCCGGCCTGCAGGCGGTTTCGCTTGGCTCATCGCACCTGCTCCTAGCGGGGTCCCTCGGTGCGCGGGGATTTCCCCCTGCGAATGCCTGATGGGAGTTATACCGCTCCTTCTCGGTCCCCAGAGCCCCTTTTAATTGGCGCCGCCTCAGCGGGGGGGTTGGAAAATGGCGAGTTCCTTGGCCTTGTGCTCTTAGCCCCACCAGAGCCAACTGCGGAATGTGGATGACAATTCCTAAGCCTAATTTAAATTTAAATTCAAATCCAAACCCAAACCTAGACCCAAATTCAAACTTGAAATTCGAAATTCAAAACCTAAAATTCAAAACTTTAAATCCAAAATTCAAAACTTAAAATTTAAAATTCAAAATTCAAGATTAAAACTCAAAATTCAAAATTTGAAATTCAATATTCAAAAACTTCAGGTTCAAAATTTAAAACTTAAAATTAAAATTCGAAATTCAAAACCCAAAATCTAAAATTCAAAATTAAAAAATTCAAAATTTAAAATTTAAAATCCAAATTTAAAAAATTCAAAATCCAAAATTCAAAACTAAAAATTTAGAATTTAAAATTCAAGGTTCAAAATCTAAAGTCCAAGTTCAAATTCAAATCCAAATTCAAATCTAAATTTAAATTTAAATTTAAGTTTTGGCTGTGGCGGGAATTTGTCTGCTCGCGTTTTCCAATACTGCGCGGGTGTGCGAAAGCTCGCTGCGCATGCGCTGCACAACACTATGATCAGCTGATCGTGTGTTGCGCCTAGAAGGAAAAACGCGAGGGAAAAAAAGTGGCGTGTGGAAACTATTCCAAGCTGTGAGAGCGTTCGTGGAAAGATCGATGGACAGGAGAGGGTCCCCCCCTTGCCCACGGGTTCCAAAGGCGGTTCCAAGTGCCTAAATTCGGGGAGCCCGGATAGCCAGCCGGGGCCGATTCTGGTACGTACCTTTCCCCAGTTGTCTCACAATTAGTAATTGCACCTTTTCTAGGGCCTTTCGAGCTGCCTACACTATTTTTATTTTGGAGCTCGGAAAAACACGTCTAATCACTGTGAGTAAACACACTTGCCAGTGTGTGTGTGTGTGTGTGTGTCCGTGTGTATTTGTGACAAAAATAAGTCGCGGCAAAAACAAATTGTCGAAATAAAACCAAAATAAAGCAGAACGGGCAGCAGATCTATAGAGAGGATGAGGCAATGACGGAACCCGGGCCAAGTTTGTTGTTTTTCTCATGTATTTTTATGATTTCTGTTGTTGTTGTTACTATTGTTGTTTTCTGTTCTTTTTTTGTGTGTTATTTTTGATATATTTTTTATGGTGTGAGGCAAAAACCGGAAAATTCTGTCTGTCTGTCTGTATGTGTGTGTGTGTGGCGGAAATTAATTATGCAGGCATATCATGGCAACTCCTTTCTCTCTCTCTCTAGCAACTATCTGCACTCTGCACTCTACACCCGCTACACACACAGGCACACCCCCAAACACTTGCATCCTTTTTCCGTGTGCGGTTTTAATTTGTGAGCCTGTACCCGTGCTTTTCGCCTGATCCTTTTCCTTTCCGCTTTTGGCCGCTGCATGTTTTCCCCTGCCACGCCCACTTTGCCGCCTCTCGCTTGTTGCTGGCTGGGAAAATTCTCAATTTTTTGTATTTTGGTTTTTTTTTGTTTTTGCGGCTGCTGCTTTGTTTGCCTTTCCATGTGATTTCACTTGGCCGGCAGAAATCGATGAAAGGTGAATACGACAGGGGTAGAGGGGATGGGGATCCTTTGAAGAGTCCTCTTTTAAAGCTCAAACTCGGGTATTATCTGGTAGCGCCGGTTTTATTGCAGTTTTAATTGATTGCATTTAGCTTCTTCTTGCTTTAGCATACGCTTTTCACTCACTTTGGCAGTGATGTTGTTTTGATTCAGAAAAATAGCTGGAAATTCTGGGAAATAGAAGTAGATATTAAAAACAATAGATTAAATAGATTTAACAAAATTTAAAAGGAAATTTTTGCTTTAATTTATTTTATTTCTATAATAACTTCTTTATTATTATATTTATATAAATAATAAAAATGTTATATTTTACTAAGAGAAATTTAAAATTTGAGGAGAAATAGAAATACATTTTAAAAACATTAAAAAATTTAAAAAAATAAATTTAAATCGCAACTTTGGCTTTGATTTTTTGAATTGTACAATTACTTCTAAATTTTTATATTTATATAAGTTATATTAATTTTAAATTTTAACTCAGAGTGGATTAAAATTTGTCGAGATTATAAACAGTTTAAAATTTCAGAAATTTTTGTTTTATTTTTTTTTTTAATTTTATAAGTAGTTTGTAGTACTGCCTTTAACTAAACAAATTCCCAAATTTTTATATATATTTTTTTAATCTAGATTTTTATTTCACCCAAACTATCATTCTTCCTTCTGTGTTCAAAATATTTTAGTTGATTTCCCCCCTTATCATACTTCACTTCTTCTATCGATTTTTTTTAGATATATGGTAATAAAATATTTTTAAAAATTTCGAAAATTCTTGATTCTTCTTTCCTAACAACAACCTAATAATATCCTTAAAATATATATATTATATATAGCTAGATAAAAGCCATGATAACAGAACTCTCTTTACTTCATGAGCTTATCTGTGCTTGCCTCATTCGCCGCCAGGTGGCGCTATCATCGTCGTTAACCCTTCTGGGTGCACTCTGCTTATAAATTCTATAAATTTTAGATCATAATGTGGCCGGCACCCATGCCGCTGTGCGCGCGTGTTACATCTGCTACATCTGTGTAGAGCATTGCAGGTGGGTGGCGGCGAGTGGGTGGCAAATGGGTCAAAGGTCGAGCCACAGCTACTATTTGTTATGCATTTTCATTAGTACGAACTTTCCAGCTTAGACACTGTCATTAGCACAAAATTGGCTGCGGAAATAGGTCCACAGGTTGTAATCGGAAGTTTTGTAAAGTCCAATCATCAAACCAACTAAAAAGGGGGATTTCTTTTAATTAATGGTTTATGGTTTACTAATAAATAAATCATAAAAAGTAGATAAGACATTGCTTTCCTCCTCTGCCACTGTCATTTTCTCTCCCGCTCATTAGCAGTACATCTTACTTTCCCTGTTGGACTTTCCCTGGCTGAAAATCATTAGGAGGGACTCCTTTAGCGCCAGCCTGCTAATTAAGCACTTACCACACAATCCAAAGAAACAACCACCTTCGATAGTAAAAATCCATTAAACAACCATTGTTCGACTATTATTTTTTCACTGTCATATTTATTTGGATTTTTGCATAGTAATAATATGTTCATTTTTATTAGTATTGGTTTTGTTTTTCTGCTTAACGTTCGCTTATTCGCTTTATTATACATTAAAATTTATGCTAAAAGTTGTAAATAAAATCATTTTGAAATGTTTTACGTTTCGTATATATAATATATTCCGCTTGGTAATTTGTGGTAGCTTCTATAAACAATTACGCAGATTTATTGAAATATTCAACGTCGCATTGAGATTGTGTGCTGTGCGAATTTTAATAAATATTTTAATTTGAGCAAATAGATTGCCCGTAAATTATGGCAAACAATCGATACAGTAGGGTAAATGATTATGCAGGAAGGCTGGACATTAAACGGCTTACGGTATCTGGCTAAATGGTAAATAAATTCACAATCATTAAACTCCCAAATTCCGTTCGAAATTAATAATTGAGCTCGTCGATTGCCAGCGGGCAAATGTCGTTAATATGCAAATGCGCGTTATGCAATCCCCGGGAATTATTTCTCGTTGGCCCATATATAGTAATTTTCGCAATAATTCGTGCCAAATGGTTTCATTTTGAGTGCCGCTTAAATTTAGGTTTTATCTATAGTAAAATATATATATACAGTGCTTGGTGTCGGAACTATGTCGATAAACTTAAACTAACAACTAAAAGTGGTGCACGAAGCGAATGAAAATTAAAAGTAGCGTTTAAAATCGTTTTCTTTTCACACTTTCTTATGGCTCGCAGTGAGTTGTAAAATTGAAGGTATCCCTAATATATAGTTTAGTTGTCACTTTCGAAATGCAGGAAATAAGCAAGAGACAGACAGACTGTGTGGGCTAGTTCACATTCATATGGTTTATACATTAATTATCTCGCTATATTTACGTGTTAGTTTCTATATATTTTCTGGTATCCGCGTTAAATGCCATTTGCTTTAATGAGTTGAATGTCGGAACACGAAGCTACACATTGACCATTGAAATGTAAAATTAAAATTTGACTAGAAATTAAATATGAAAATTTAATTTTGTTCTTGTTGTGTGATCTTTCGGGGGTTTGTTTTCGTTTTGTTTGTTTGTTTTTTGTGTTAAAACTTAGCTTAAATAACATGTAATTTATATATTTAATTTGTAATTTTAATGATTTGTTTTCGTTTTTCGTGTGTTTATTATAATTAAATAACATAACATTAGTTAATTAAAAACTAAAAACGCAGTCAATTTATATATTTGGAATTTCATTTTGCATACGCATAAAATACACATAACTCTATTGGGTTTATTTCCATTTATGCATTATATATGTATGTATGTTGCTTACTTGGGGATTTTCGTTATTAAAACATTCATGAACAATGCTACGGTTTCTTATTGTTTTATGTGGGGTAAAAACATGCGCAAAAAAGTCTTATTTCTTGTTGCTAAAGGTAATAGATTTTCGTTTTGTGTGTATGTTCTAGAGCTATTTGGGAAAAATCTTTTCGAATTGAGGTCTTAAAACATCTAATACACAATCAGCTGATATACATTTAATTGGTATGTGTATATGAGGAAGGGTCGATCTTTTTGTTCAGCAAAATAGAAGTATTAAATCTTTGGAAAGTTTTTAAAAGATTGCATTTCCTTATGTCAAGTTGAATTGCTTAAAAGTTTAATAGAAAGAAGATAGTTTTCTAATATTTTCATTACATTTTTCACATACATCTTAAGAAAAAATCTTCAAAGAGTCAAGTTTTTGCATTGCCTACTTTTAGTTTACTTTTCAAATGATTTTTAAACTACTCCTTGTTAAAATTCTGGAAATATTTCAAAGTTTTCCTACTGATCGACCCAACCTTGTGTATAAATAGATTTGTTTTCGTTTTATTTTCGTATTGTTTTGTATAGGATATGCAACTAAATTCACGTCTCTCCTTTTGCTTTTACTCTAGTCGTCAGGCGGGGAAGGCTTTCCCCGTTTTTCCACTCGTCTGGCCTTGAGTTAGAAACTTGACTGAATAATACTTTTCCTGGTTCCTCGCTCTCTAGCTCTCCTCAGACTCCTCCTGGGGACTCGTTGCTTACGACATGGCATTGTAGACGGGCTGCTCGTGCTGCTTGGGACAGCGGCCGTGCTTCTCCATGTAGAGGCCGTACTCACATGTGGGCGGCTTGCAGCGACCCTGCTGGATGCACCTGTTATCGGGGGGTGGGAAAAACAAAAGGGAATTTGATGGGGAGGTATAAGCATGCGATTTATTTGCCACTCACTTGCGATTGTTCATGTCAAAGTGCTCGTTGCCCCGCTTCAGCCAGTCGCAGTCGTAGTTGCCGGAGCTGCAGTCGCACCTGCACTGGCCGTCGTCCTGCAGGATCTTCTCGAAGCTGCGCGGACAGGTGCAGCTTAATATGGTAGCCCGCACCGCCGATGGACCGTAGTTGGCCATGGCCGTGTCCTCGTTGTAGCTGGAGCGCTCGATGCAGTGGCACTCCGTGTGGTTCACAAATGTCCGCTTTTCGATGACGCTGCGGTGTTTGGTGCTCTTCACCTGCGGGTTTGACGGGAGAGTCCGGGAAAATGGGAAATCCGTAAATGAAATGCCATACTTAGTTAATTACCAGCGATATCATCGCACACACACATCCCTGGCAGCTTAATTATGCCGGCCAACTATTTGCATGTCGAGCTTGCATAATTTGATGCCCAGCAGCCCCCGTAGCCCCCTGGCTTGTTTGCATATAGAATATATCTATATGTCTTCGTATCTGGCAGCAGGGGAGTTGACAGTTTCCTAAGCTGACTGCTCATCAAACTTGTTGTCATTGTTGCCATGGCTCGTTGTCGGTCGGTTATACAGAGCTATAGCTCTTGTAATTCTTAAATGAGTTGTCAGTCGTCAGTAGCCAGGGGCTTAGGTGGAATATGGGGAGTTTTTAAAGAGGGGTTAAGATATTAAGTGTTAAGTAAAGAGTTAAACAATGTAAATAATATTTAACAGACACATCTTTTGTCTTCAAGCAACCAGAGAAGTGTAACCTAATATTTCCCATGACAAATACCCCCTTTTTGGCTTTGACTAGACGCCACTGACCAAGGCCATTAACAGACCACAAAACTTCTACAGCTGCTGATGCCTGGGATTGGATTGGATTGGTCCCATGGTCTCTGTCCGCCTCACCGATGAGCCCCGCATGTCGCCACTCTTTGGCTGGTCTGTGGTCCACATTTTACTCCAACCACCCCCTGTGCCCCCCCTGGAATTTGTGGGTTTTGTTGCATGACAAGTGCAAAATGATGAAATGCGTATGAATTGCATAAATTAAGTTGAATTCGTTTAATTAAAATAACAAGTTGGTTATTAATCAAGCCCTGACTGGCCACTCATCCAGCCAGTTGAGAGATCTTTACAAGGAGTGGAAATGCAGAAAATCAGAAAATCGGAAAATGGTAGAAAGTGAGAATAAACAGAAAAGCAATCTTGCAGAAAAGTGCCATAAAAAAATCTTTACAAATTGGTGAAGTTCTGTGAAGCATTTGAATTTTGATTGGACGCATCAAAGCAGAAACAACTGGCAAACCCAATAAGTTGACAAAGCACTAAAAAGGGTAAAGCATGTTTCAGGTATTTATGAAAATTCAGCAAATTGAGTTTTTACTTTGCTTCCCTGCGGTTCGTGTTGTGTGGTACTTTCCGGTCTGTGGTTGGGTTTTTTGGTCAATGCTAATGCAAATGCAACTGCTGCGAATTGAAAAAGTTTTTGGGGCCATCCCCTCCACCTGAAAGTTGTAGGGGTTCCAAGCGAAATTCCTTGAGAACCAGAACGGGGCTTTTCTTCTTCACTAAGAGCAACAATAATTGCCGGAAACGGAAGTGCCAAGTGCTGCCGTTGTTACTTTACTGTACAAAGGCCCTTCCCACCAAGTTACCCCAAACCGCATTTGTGCAAAAAATTGCACTAAAGTGCTTCTGCAGTTCCTGCTGCTCAGTAAATATGCAAATCCCTCAGCCTATACACTACTAAATAAGAGGATTTACTAATTGGGTTACTATACAAGCTGTTTCCAAGCTATTTCATTTATCGGAAAGAGCTTTAAAAATTTGGAATTTATAAGATGAAAATGTAGAATAATGTAGATATAGCTAAAAACCACAGAATATATAAAAAGTTCTTCATTATCTACTTATTTTTATTAATTTCGAACTGTAAATTTCGATTTTTTTTATATTTATATTTTCTAAAAACCTCAAAAAGTTTTCCAGTCTTAGAACTACAGTGTATCCTGATATATAACCATATTGTTTATGAGTATTTTGAGAGGGGGGTAGTATGCCGGGTGGTTTACTTTCCAAGATGGCCTCTCTCTAATTGAGGTTGGGCTGTTTTATGCATGCAAATGCATTCGTAAAACCCATTTTTGCCCCCATTTCTCTTAGGGACGGGTAAGGTGCGTGTGTGTCCGGTGTGTGTGCAAACCGAGCAATTAGTCAGTTATTGCTCGGCTTGCCAGGGGTTTTCCCAAGGAGAAGAGGTGCGATTAAGTCAGCTCAGTGGTGTGTAAGCATAAAATGTTTTTCCTAAAATTTCATGCATTTTCCAGAGGCCTCCCAAGTGGTTTTGTTTTCCACAAAAACAATGGCCCGGGTCGAGAACTTAATTGAGACGAAAATAAAAGTAGTGGTTGGAGTATTTGTAAACACGAAGATTTTAACCAACTCTTGGGGAGGAATTTGCAATGAGTTATTGTCCCAAAACTGTCATGTTGATTTTTAAGCTGAATTTATCAGTACTTTGTTACTATTTTAAATACAAAGTTCTATGAGCTTCTCCTTAAACCACAACTTTGAAATTTCTTACCCCACAATGCAATTTTCTTTCTCTTACAGAAATTTCCATTTCACCTGATTAAATTGAACTATTTTCTTAGCGAACTTTCAACTGTAACAAATGAGTTCTAGGAATTTACAAAATTAGTGAAAAGTTTATGTAGTTTCACCCTCTGACTTTCACCAGCTGTCTTTGTTCTTTTATGTGAGCTACACTTCTCCTCAACATGTTAGTTCTCCATAAGTTTAAAGAACACTCAACTGTCATCAACATTTCTGATAAAGTTGCAGCAAGCAGGGATATTTGGGGAGAGATATAGTTGGATTCCAAAGGGAAAGGTGTTAAAGAGCCACAAAGGATAGTTACACGGAAAGCCAAAGATATTTTTCGTACAAAATATACCTATAATATACAACAATGATAATACAATTTCACACAAATACACATATTATATTACAAAATATGCAAATTTAAAATTTGAAAGTTGCATTGCAAAAGAATTTCACATATTTGTACAGCTTTCGGCGGTTAGAGTTTTGGGGAAGGTGGGATTTTTGGACCATTTCTCATCCATTTCATGGCGCCCACATCAGCGTTGCATTAGGGAAGCTTTCCCTTAACTGCTGTGTGGGATACTGCTGCTTACCTCCTGCACCTGTTTCCACCTGTTTACGTGCTCGCAATTTGCATTTACCTCGCCTTTTTCAACCATTCCCCCCATCCGTCCTTTCGACACACGTGTGGATGTCCCGCAGACTGGCCCGGGGATTTGAGCTTGGGAAAATTGCATTACGCAGCTCTTAAACTGGCTGCGGATGTGTCACGAAAGGGGATCCTTAAACTACATCTCCTCTTTTACCAGACTTTCCCCCATTTACCGCCCAGGCTTTGCCTCCTTTTGTTCAACTCATCCCAAGCTTATTATGCACACGCCTCGAGCTGGCCACATTTTGTGGCAAATTAATTAAATCACCGAAGTTTGGTTCGCTCTGGTCTCCAGATGGGGATGCACAGTAAGAAAAGTAGATAGCCTAGAAAAGGTTTGTAATTTGTAATTTATCTAACTTCTATTGTATCTCTAACTCTCTCTCTTTTCTAATATGTTTCCATGTCTCATTATACTTTGTTATTTTTTTAAACAAAACTCCTCTTTAATCCTAAAAAGAAGCTTCCTCCATCTCTAGAAATGATTTCTCTGTATATATATGAAGGTTATATGTAGAGTTGAAGCTATTTGGGATGAGGAGTTGGCCATTTGCCTGTCAGCCAATTGACTTTTACTTTGGCTTCGGTTTGCTAAACAAGCAAAACTTTGGCTGGGTGTGTGTGTTTTTATTATTGCTGCTTGTGGGCGTTGGCTTTCACGTTTAGGAGGCCTTTGATTTCAGCTTTTTCTAGCTGCCGCCCCCCTTCAGTGTTACCTCCTGCTTGCTCTTCTGTGACTCTCCGGTGAAAGTGGAGGGCAGTGAACCCAGAAAAGAGAATCCAGGAGGCGAAGAAAGGAGAGGAGACCGACTCATAAATCTCACAACGCTTACAACATGTGCTGGAGTTTGCTGGGAGTTCAATGTCCTTTCTCCCAGACTTGTACAATGCAGAACGACCCCATCTCCTCAAAAAAAAAGGGAAAAAACCTTACACCAAATGCAAAATTTGCGCAACATAAATTATGTTTTGTTAAAATGTTTACGCTTTTTTTTGTGTTGTGTTGCGCTGCTGCTCTTGTTGGTTGCATCCTCAGCCTGGTTATGGCTCCTTAAGGTTCGTACACCCCCGCCACCACAAGAGACCTCTAACACTGAGAGAAAGTATGGAAGAGTTTGTATGTAAAATCAATTTAAAATATTTTAATTTAAGGGATAACTATGATTGGGGGAAATTTGACTATCTAAATTCTTAAAAGAATATCTAGAATAATAATTTAGTTACTTCCTAAAATGATATTATATATTATTATATTTTTATTATATTTTTTCCAGTGCCTCTCCAGCTGAGTGTGTGTGTTGGCGTGTGTTTGCCTGCCACTTGACACCTCTCAATGACAAACCGCTGAGTTGCTTCCTCCTGGCAAAAGCTGCTCCTTCATATTCATCTCCTTCTTACTCCTCTACTTCAGATTCACCTTCTTCTTTTCCTTCTTCTTCTTCTTCAGAATCTCTTTCTTCTCCTTCTTCTACAGAATCTTCTTCTCCTCCTTGCTCTTTAGTATATTTTTTCCATACATATCCGCGCTTAAGCCTCAGACTGCCAACAGTTTTGGACATATAGCTTCAGCTTCAGTTTCCTGGCCACAAATATTTTTTGTGTCCTAAGTCTGGGCTGATGGGATAGAGGGGCCACACAGGGGGTGGCAAGTGTGTAGAAAATGGTAGAAATATTTCGGTGAAAAGGAAGAAGAGGAGAGACAGAGAAGAGGAGGGCCAGAATGATGGACACAAAAGTTCCTGGGGGCCATACACTTTGCTGCCAGCGGATTCCATGGAGCTTGTCATGGAGTTTGCTCTTGCTCTAGCCCAGAACGAATAAGTTTATTTTGGGGATTTCCCAGAAAGTAACAAAAAAAGATAGAGAGGGAGAGAGCGAGCGAAACTATTTGCATACTAAATTCGGCTTTAAAGTGAAATTGTAGTAAGCCAAGATTTTAGAATGTAAATGTTTCAGAGGAGGCAACTACTTTTTTTATACTATTGAGACCTTGGAACAGACCATAGATTTGCAAGGCTTATTACAAAGGTTTAACTTGGGAATTATAATAAAGAAAATAAGTAAATTATGATTTAAATTTAAACAATTTCTAACTCTTTTAAAACTATTTTTGTTTATCTTTCCAAGGCAAAACAGGAGCTTTAACTTCATATATGATACAACCAAGCTTTATTCAGAATTTTTAGCTTACTATTTATTGAACCAAGTTTTTAAAATCTTACTTTTATTATAAACTGTATTATATATATTGATTCTGCTTACTTTCCAAGAAGCTTTTGACTTTATAAGTCTCTCTCCAATGAATTTTCACACATCTGCAAACAGACCGAAGCTGAAATTTCTAGTGAAACTTTAGCTCAAACAACCGCATATTAAAATTGACCCTAACTTTATTACGAACTCTTTAATCTGTTGCATATATATTAAACTTAATAATTTATGTTACCCTATTGGCTGGGACTTTCCACAAGATTTTCCGATGGCTAATCTTGGCCCTCGTAACTTTGCCATTAATTTCAAGGGCCTAAACCCTCTCTCCCTTTACACTTATCTATCAAGTTTATCTCACAGGTTTTTGCTCCAGTGCCGAAAATGTTAAATTGCCCAACAATAATTTGTGTGGTTTTGCCCCCAAGTTTTATTGGATAATTAAGCTGGGCGGGGAGTTGACTTAACCCCCTCAAGCCAGCGTTCCATATAATGGGCCATGTGTGGGCGTGTTTGTCTTGTTCTTAAGCATTTTGCGGTTGTGTTTGCCTCGGAATTTTGTGCCCTGGATGTGTGAGTGTGCATAAATCTTGCAAGTGGAAACTTTTTGCGGCGAGCGCAGCATAAATATTTGAAAATTAAAAGCCATCCTCGGTTCCCAGAGTTATGAGCTCCAAGTCCTGAGTCTCCCTGCCTCGAAGGCCGCCAATAAAAAAGTTCCAGCTGCAAAAACGGCGTCGCAGAAACGGAAATTTATGAAAGTTGAGCCAAGAAGGAAGCCAAGAAGGAAAATCAGCCCCTTATGAAGTCACTCATAATGGAAAACTAAGCAAATGCAGGCACGGCAAGTAATAGGATGCCCAGGAACAAATTACAAAGAGCAGTGAATGGGCCAGAAGAAGCTTATGTTTACTTATTAAAGGGATAGTTGATAGCTCTTAAAATATATATTAGCTTTTGTGAGAAGAAGTATTATTAACAGAGAAGGACAATAGAGATGGTACTGAAGGGTAACAGTTAGAAATTAAAATAATTATTTAAAATAGGAAAACTTTAATTGATGTTTAAGGGTTTAAGAAATCTTAAGTTAATATGTCTAAGCTATTGGAGTTACAGTATTTATTTATATCAATAAAATATTAATTGAGTGATTCTTAATAATTTTTAAACCCTTTCGGTCACATAAGTAGTGTCCTTTGACCTAATTTTCCACTCGTAACTTATCACTTGCTTAACTTAAGCCACAATCCCATATAAATTACAATATTCTTGCTTCTTAACCCCCCCACTTTTCCAATTTAATTAGCAACCATCCATCACCCTGTCACCAGTCCAATCTGTAGCATATTAAACTTAAACAAAACGAGTTTCCTCCCCCAAGAGCCTGACTGAAAATGCTTAATTACATTCTCGATTTCAACATATATTGAAAGCTCGTTATACAACAAAAAGACAGGCAGAACAATGAAGGCAATGGCAACGGCAGCAATAATCATATCATGGAGCATAAATCACCAAACAAATTGAATTATCATTGCGTCATTAAAAAGTCATTTCAGCGGAGAGCTTACGGTGGAAAAAGAAGTACCCGGGAAAAAAAACAAAAAACAAAAAAAAAAAATTTGAAACGAAAATAAAGGTGAAACGATATAATTATGTTGCAATATGGCGCCCTCAAGCATGACCTACGCCCACAACACCAACAATGAGAATAATAAAAACAACAACGACAATTACCGTCGACGAGAGAGACAGACATACTCGCTTCGAAAGAGACGGAGACATGGGCACTTGGAAGCGCACACGTTCGCTTTCAAAAACACCAAAAACCTAAACACAATGAATGCGCTCATGTCAGAATGAAAATTGCTTTTTATTTGCCAGCGTTGTTTTTCTTTTTGTTAGTGCTGCACCCAGGCGCAACATTGAATGAAAACCATTTTCCGAAAGGGGCAAGGGCGTGGCCAAACCCCAAGAGTTAATAGAAAACTAATCTAGAATAAGAGGCTCAAATAGGAAAGTTTTTATATTAAATTGGATAACTTTTCTGTATTAATCTTAATGTATTTAAATTTTGGGATCACATAATGCAAGTTAACTTGCAATTAAAAATAATATAGATGATTGAATAATAAATTTAATTAGGAATTTGTGGCAGGTCTATCTTTTCTGAAAATTTAACTTAAAAATCTGCAAGGATCTTTACACTCTTATGAGGACATTTATATTTTTTACTTAGCTTTCATCTATTAGAAATATTTTAAATATTAAGTTTTAAATGTGAAATCAGCGGTAAAGAATTTAAGAATATAAATTTTAGGGTAACCCCTAAGTAAATATTTAGTTTTAATAATTTATTCAATTACATATCATCGAAGTTTGTTTTTTAATGTCTTTTTCTTTTATTTTTTATATTTCTCAATTTTTCCTTAATTCCTTTTTTTCTTTTATGTTTTATATATTTCCTAATTATTTTTTAACCCTTTATTATTTTTTATTTAGTACTCACAAAGAAATGCAGCTCAACGTTGTGGGTACTCTTGGCGGCGCATATTTGGGTTCTACTGGGACAACAGCCACTGTCCTCGCTGCAGCGGTGCAGGATGGTGCAGTGGGGCGTGTAGATCTTGGAGGGATCCTGCTGCACCAGCTGGCACCGCTTCTGGGGCACTCGACAGGTGGCCTCCTTTAGCACCTGGTTCATGTGGGCATGGGCGAGGGCTGAACAAAGGGAAATGGAATGTCCCTGGGTTAGCTTTGCTTCTCTCGCTCTCCTTGGAGCCTCCTTACCTCTCTCTCTCTTCTGCTTCTGGGCCTGCAACCGTCTCGCTCGAAGCGCCGCCTCGGGGGTTCCCAGCTGCTCCTCCTTCTTCTGGGTTAGCTTTCCGGTTATGTAGTTGCGTGAGTAAATGCTCTCAACATCCTGCAAATGAAAACAAGGTTGGCCAAACTTTAGTTATGCTAATTGATGGCTTCGTATTATGTTTGTTTTGTTTAGGTGAAGAGACGTTCATGTTCATGATTCCCCCAACAGGCATTTCCTCTACCCCATATCATCACTCACATTACGCATACGCCACCGGGGCCGTAGCCATAAAAGTCGTTCGCATTAATAAAGCCTCCATTTGGGCCGTGTGATGACAATTTGTCACCATTTTTATTGTCCAAAAGACTGCTGGGAATAGTGGAGAGGGGACAAGCGAGCACAGATTGAGGTAACATGCCAGTGGAACATTAACGAGAAGTTGGTACCGCAACAAATGTGGGGCCCAACAGAAGTTCATAAACTAAGAATTCATGTGCTGGCAGAAGGCACCAAGCGCAACAAAGGCAACAAAAGCAAAAGCAACAAAAGCAAAAGCAACAAAAGCAAAAGCAACATTAACAGCAGCAGCAACAGGAATGAAAAAAATATTACAAGAAACCGTTTTTGGAAAGCTTAAATACCCTAACTTCAAAGAAAATTATACAGTAATTAAAAAGGAATGATTTTTAATTTAAAAATATTTTATATATTATTTTTGTAGAAGTTTAAAGCTTTATCTAAGAGTCTTTTCATTAATGAACCTTGGTTAAAAAATATTTATAATGTCTATGGCTTTGTGCCACTGACTTTACCCTTTGCCCTGTCCTACTTTAATTGACTTGTCTTTTAGTCACAAACTTAAAACGATCAGCTTTGTCTTACCTTATATCTTTCATCTCCACTCGAAACTGGCAAACTCCATAGCCAAATCGTGGTACCCTTGACCCATAAGTGCAGAACAATGGCCACATGAAACAAATTGGCATTCAGGGCAATAAATACGACAGCGAGAACAATAGAGAAGAAATTGTCGGACACGGACATGGACATATAGCAATGCTCTGGGAAAAAGGAAATCAACCTGGTCTGGTCTGGACCAGAACCAGAACGAGAACGAGAATGAGATGCGAAAAAACCAGGCCCAGTCAACCACGAATTGGAAGCGAGACGGAATGAAGTAAAAATGTTGACCAATGCGCACAATTGGCAATTTGTGAAGTTAAGCGAAATTAATGAGCTGGCTGCGTCCATAGCTCTTTGCACATACACAAATATATATAAATATACGGACAGATATACGTACATACGTGCAGCGAAAAAATATCGTAAATTGTGCAAATGTGGGTGGGCCAAAATGGCTAAATAAAAGGCCAGCGGACAGGGCCCACGAAGCGAAGCTAGAGGCCTGTTCATTAGTCACACATTGAGGATATATATACTACATGTTTGGTGTGCTATAAGGTGCTCAAGAGCAATTGGCATAAATCTTCGTCTTCGGCATTGTGTCCATTCCCACTTCGATTCCAATACCAATTCCCATTCCCCATTCCGATTCCCATTTTCATTTGGGGGCTTAGCATTTCAGGTCCATTTGCTTTTGGCCGAAAACAATGGCTCTTTGATGTTGGTCAATGATTTTTAGCGGTTTAACCTTGAGGCTTATGAATGAGGCCCCCATTGTTGTTGTTGTTGTGGTGTGATGGCCAGGCTTAAGCTTAACGGGGCGTCCGGCGGGGGTTGGGGAAAAGCCTGACAAGAATGTGGCGTTAATGCCAAGGCTATGGCTTTACGGCCAGGTAGATCCTCATCTGCCCATTGGCCAGCATTAAAAGTTAATGCAATTTGATTGAAATGCTCTGGGTGATTTTTCAGCGAAAAGAAAATCACTTGAAGATAATGGTCAGGCACTTGGGGGAATTGGTGATAAATTCCAAGGCTTGTGTAAAGATGAAGAATGCTAAGATGTATCCCGAAGCAAAGATATGTTCCTAACGTGTAAAAATAAGATATACAAATTTGCTATTTTTTGCCGTAGTTTTAGATGCCTTAAAACTCTGATTTTTCCTAGAATCTGGGCCTTCTAGAAAAATTCCCAAACACCCCTTCAGCTTCTGGGTTTTTATCTCATTTGGCAAATTGCATTTGCAAAAATCATTTCGCCTGACCCGCGGAATCTCTCCCTTTTTCGCCTCCTTCAAAGTCCTGGCACCTTGCAATTAAATTTGTGTTTTTTCCGGGCTCCCTTTTGACTCGATTTCCCTGCTTTTCCGCCCAACTGTTGACGACACTTCAGACTGTGACGTTCGCTGAGAATTTATCACCTTTTCTGATATTAGCGCCACTCTCTCACTCTCGCTCTTTCTCTGGCGACGGGGCGTCTGCTTCGCTCGTTTGTCAAGTTTATTCAATTTTGAAAACTGCAACGCCAGAATAGCGTAGAAAGGGGAGCAATGGGGTTTCCATTTGCCAAGCTGCCTTCACTTTCATCAAACTTCTGGCATTTGACGCCGCTCTGGCTGCTTATTAAAAACTCAAACGCCCCTCGAGGAGAGCTTCTACTCTTCCTTCTTCTACCCCGCTACTCCCCACCATTAGACACTTGGCTGTCGAGTTGAGTGCTGAAATATTGCAGCCTCTCTTTGGGGGATTCCCTCTACTTGCCCAGGCCATTCCTGTCTGGTTCGCTCTGCTCCGTCTGCTGCTGTTTGTCATATTCCATTTCCCAGTCGAGTGGTCGTCTTTCGATGGGAGGGAAGGGTGCACAGTAAAAATCTACAAATCATGGCTAACTACGATTTTAGTTATTTAATTGAATAAATTGAATTAAGAGGAATCAAGAAAAGGATAAAGGAATTATCAGGCTTTAGATACGAAAAACTTATTAGATTCCATCGGAAAAATCCTTTAGCTATTTAAAAACATAAAAATATGTAAACTTCTGTGTCCAATACTGTTATTATTTTAAATTTTAATAGAATTGTTTCAATATTTTATTAAATTCCTATTTCTCCCTGTGCATCACGAGAAATTGGAGTAGAAGCAGTGCTCTTGATATCATATCAAAGTCGAATGCTTTTATTTATTAGCTGCATGAAAAATGGACTCGCTGGATAAGGTGGAAAGGAGCGTGCTGGCGCAAACTGAAAACTCGCATTTGAAGTGATTTGAGAAATGTTTGAAATGAGTTTTCTCCACCATTTCGTGCTGCATACTTTCGGGGTGTTCGTGTCAAATTGCGCATACGCCGCGTGTGACGCGAGGAATTATTTTTAAAATTTATTTGCATAGAATATCCGAACAAAAGTTGGCCAGATAAAAAATGATTCGAACTGAAAAGCGGAAAGAAAAGTTTTGCATTCCAAAGTTTTATTTTTGTGGCCGCGAGGAGAAGAGTGAAAAATATCCAAACGAAAAATAACACACACACATTCACCCACGACAATGGGAAGGAAAATATTTTGGTTTGCTGTGGTAATTGTTGTTTACCCATCATGTGTGCGCTTCCTCTGTTCCTATCTTTATCCCTTTTTCTGTCTGTCTCTGTCTCTCTCTCTGTCTCTGTCTCTGTAAACTGTTACCTGTTTTGCCTCGGTGCGTTTTGTTGCATATATATTGTATTTGTTGAACTTTATAATGGCAATGAAGTTGATGTTTTTACGAAGCAATTTGCTACAACTTCTATCTGTCGTGTGTCTTTCTCTTTCTTGCGCTTTCTCCTTCTCGCTCTCTCTGACTCTGTATCTTTTTATTTTCTATTCTCTTTCTAGTTTTTCTTCTTCGGCCGAAACTTTTGCCAACTTTTCTTTTAAGGCTGGTCTCATAAATTTTTATTATGAATGCACATATTTTTCCCACTTTCAAATGCATTCTCTCTCTCTCTCTCATTTCCCCTATTCCTGTCTCTATCTGGCGGCCTATGGCCGTCTCTTTCTCGGTTCGGCGTCTGCGGTGCAAATGTGTGGCTCAGTTGGTGGCCGGTTGGTGCGGTTAATGTGCATTTGGCAGCTGTTCGGAAGCATGCTTTTGTGGCTTTTCACCATAAATAATGTGCCCGAAAATGGCTACTTGTGTGGCGAATATTTCAAGCAACTAAATTATAATAAAATCCATCAAAATTGGAAATAATTTGATAGAATATTCCGGATGCCTGAAATGGCTGCTCACTTTAATAATTATTTGCCGCCCTGGTTGGCATTTATAATTTAATTAAAACACCTACCCACCTCGCTTAACACACGTGTAATTTGCTTTTTGAATGAATTTAACGTTATTTATGTACGTTCTGCCTGCCTCAGCATTTACGCAAATTTCCCAGGTGCCTTATTTTTCATTCATTCAGCAAAAGCAACAGGAACAGCAGCAGCAGCAGTACTCGTAAAATCCAACAAGCCGACTGTCCTGCGAAAAAGGCAGCTTAAAGTCCTTTAAGGCCAACAGCGAATGAATTATAAATGTTAAGCCGACTGAACGATGGCAGCCTTTAGCAGTTCCACTTTGGATCTTTCGTGGTCCTTGAATCGGAGGTCGTGGATATGACCCGTAAGGGAGATATATACATGTATCGTTTACATATGTACATATATTCCTTTTCGAATGCGTTTATTCTTTTGGTCATTTTGGCAGGACTTTTATACTCTGCCAGGGAGTCGTTGAAATTGATGAGAATGTATGCGACTTTAATTATATTTCTTTTAAAGTTAATCCAACATTTTTGTACTTAAATTTTACTTCTGATATTTCCAACTATTTTTCCTAGTAAATTCAGTTTTATCTGGATTTTTAAAGATGTCGTAAATCTGCTAAATTTAAAATTAAAGCCAAGGCTGCCTGATTTTTGACTGACGTTTTTTTTTATTTTGCTGACTTGCCGTCATTAAGCAAGTTAATGCTGACCACGCCCAAAACACACACACATGTGGCTCGGTGAAAGGTTGAAAGGGGAGGGAGTGTGGGGGTGTGCCTGGGGTTTGTCCGACACAGCACTCCTTCCATCAGTTTCCGGGCTTGTCAGCTGCAGTAACGGAAAGGCAGCAACAAGGTGGCCCCCTTTTGCTGGACATGAACCTGCATCACAATGCAGCTGGTGGGCATCCTGCGTGTGGCCCTCACTTTTGGCA